TCATTGTGGTTTTAATTTGCATCTCTCTGATGATTACTGATGTTGAGCATTTTCTCATATATCTCTTGGCCATCTGTATGTCCTCTTTGGAGAAGTGTCTATTCTCCATTTGCCCATTTCTTTTTTTTTTTTAATTTTTAATTTTTATTTTTGTTTAAAATATAAAAATATGGGACGCTTCACAAATTTGCATGTCATCCTTGCACAGGGGCCAGCTAGTCTTCTCTGTATCGTTCTAATTTTAGCATATGTGCTGCCGAAGTGAGCACCCCATTTCTTAATTGAGTTGTTTGTCTTCCTCTTGCTGAGTAGTATGAGTTCTTTGTACACTTTGGAAATTAGCCCCTTATCAGATGTATCCGTGGCAAATATGTTTTCCCAGACCATGGGGTTCCTTTGTATTTTGAGGATGTTTTCTTTTGCTGTACAGAAGCTTTTTAGTTTGATGTAGTCCCATATGTTTATTTTTTTGTTTCTACTGGCTTTATGGAAACAGGTATCAGATGGGACTGGGTTGGAGAGGAAATGTGACAGGTAAAGAAATAGAGGTAGGGTGTTTAGACAACTCTCTTAATCAGGTTGGCTTTGAAAGAAGAGAGATACCTGGAGGGGGAGATGGGAAGTTGAGATGGTATGCAGAAGGGGGATATTTAAAAATGAATAAACAGATGAATGAATGGGTGGATGTACAGCTGAATGTGAGATGTTGATGAGTGCCAAGGAATAATCCCCAACATAAAGTTCTAGGGATATGAGAGGGGGATTATAATATATATCATATCATACATGTCATATATCATTTCCTTTAGATTGGAAGGAAGAACAGCATGGGGAAATGTTTTTAATTTTATTAATTTGTAAATTTTTTGTGAACAATAAGCCAGAGGATTAAGAACCTTTTATCCCATCTTTTATTCCATTTATAAGATGCACCTCCCATTTGAGAATTTTATCATTTTTTACTGCCATCTACTTTTGACTACTTCTACTAGAAAAAACACCCCCCTACTCCCTCCAGCCAAAAACAATATATGCAATAAATAATCTGGTTGTTTGGGAAGATTTGTCTGTATATACAACATCTTTTCCCCCTGTGTTTAGGGCACTTTATTTTTATTCCATGGCAGAAAGTTATGTCAGAGTTTGTATTTCCACTTCCTGTGACTTTTTTTTCTTGTGTTTTATGAATTATAACAAAATTCCACTGTAGGGGAAAATTCTAGTAGAATTCACTGACCACATTTGACCTAAATAGTAGTTGGTGTCATGAGCAGAAGTATAACTCTTTTTCTCCAGAAGACTTTTCAGTAGACTATTTTGTTACAGTGGATTTTTGAATAGATAATACTTGTATGTGGTACAAAATTCAAGAGGTACAGCACTACATACAGTAAGAAGTCTTTGACTCTTATTTCTTCATTCATTCTCTTTTGTTGCCAAGGCAGCTGGTGTTACCATTTTAAGTATCCTCCCAGAGAGACACTGCATCTTCAAACTTATATATAATTTTGTTCCTTATTTAAACAAGTGGTATAATGTACCTTTTTAAATTTAGCATATTAAACATTGCTCCATATTAAATATAAAGAATCTTTTCATTTTTTTGTGCCACATTGTATAGACATACCATGATAAGCTAATTATTTGTGTCCTATTTATGGTCGATGCCAGTGTTTATGATAGATTTGGACATATTTAAGTGGTTTTTAGGCAGCAGAAGTCATTATAAATCTTAAACACTTAAATTTAAGGAACTTGAAATGAAAGGTAATTATTTGATTGTTGTGTCATTGAACAACATTGATATTGTTATGTTTTCTTACAAGGAAAAGCAGTTTAGAGTCATTTGTGTTACCCACACAGTTTATTTACAGAAGAGACAAGAATTTTATGGTCATTTTAATAAATTTACTTTTTTTAAAAAAAATACAATTTTACTGATTTTCAGAGAGGAAGGGAGAGGGAGAGGTAGAATCATTGATGAAATAGAAGCATCATCACTCAGCTTCCTCCTGCATGACCCCCACTGGGGATGGAGCCTACAACCCTGGCATGTGCCCTGACTGGGAACCCAACTGTGACCTCTTGTCTTGGTTCCTGGGTTGACTCTCAACCACAAGCCACACTGGTTGGGCAAATTTACTTTTCAATCTGATGTTATATTTTGTAGTTCGGAAAAGTCCAGTGCCTTCTGCTTTCAGAAATTGAGACTTGACACTTGTGCTTTTTAGCTGATGTTAATTTCATATATTTCTCAGATATTCAGCTTTAAGAAAACTCTTTTTACCAGAATATGTAATTTAATTCTCTGCAGAAGAATTAACTCTCATTTTTATTCAGTTCGAAGATCTTGGTTTATTCCTCATACCTGTGGGTATTTCATATTTACGAATATTTTATTTCCTGTGTGTGTTGCCCGTATGCTTCATTTATGACACTGGCAGTTTGTTGTTTTAACTTTTACTACTCTGTTGGTTTTCAGAGATGTCACAGTCCTTTTGTAATGGTGTTAGGAATAACATTTATGCTTATGTTCATTTAATTTAAAAATTAGTGATGCAAATATGCTTATGAAAGGCTACCCATGGGATTGTTTTAAATTAATAAATGTTTCTAGTTGCTATGCTGTGAATGTTTTGGTTTTCATGAACATGTTAAGGAAACTTCGTCCAAATGTTTGTTTTATCAGCAACTGAGAAGAGGGCCATGAAAAACAAACAGGTATATAGAAAATTTGTGTTTGTACTAAGCAAAAAGTAGGCTTGCCATGTTAGATTAATAAAAGGATTTTTCAGATATTTTCTAGTTGCTGCCTACCATATATTTCACTATCAGGTAACCCAGAGTAAAGTGATGGAAATTTATTTATTTATTTTTTAAATATTTATTTAGTTGAGAGAGAGAGACATCAATTTGTTGTTCCACTTATTTATGCATTCATTGGTTGATTCTCGTTATGTGCCATGACTGGAAATCGAACTGGAACCGTGGTGTATTGGGGTGATGCTGTAACCAAGTGAGCTACCTTGCCAGGGCTGATGAAGATGTCTTGCATCTGACTAGCATACTTCCTAGCTTAATATCTGTGTGTGTGTGACCTATGGGACATCATGATAATTGCCTTCTTTAACATCACATATACAGGGTGAAGTATTTACTTGCTTTGCACATTCTTAGCATCTCTTAAAAACTATCAGTTAATGAAGTTTGCACTATGTAGGTCACAACTCTTGTGGCTAAAGATTATGTCCTGTTTCTCCATGATTAAGTGGAATTGTAGCACACACACTGGGATAGTGATGTTAGGTTCTAAAGTTAGCATATAAGGTGGAATATATGTGTAGGCTGTTTTCTTTTAAACCCCTTAAGTCATTCTTGGAATAGAGTACACTAGTTTCCTGGGTTCACAAAGTAGTTGATCTGTATTTAGTGGTTATTGTTTATGAAATAACATATATTTAAACACTAGACTCACATTCAGCATGATTAGAGGACTATGGAAACTAGGAATACTGAGGAAACAGCAGATTGGGCCTTTCCTCTTAATGCCTTCTAGAGCAGCTCCTATTAAGAGGAATGGCAGGCAGGTTTGATGCGTATAATTATTTTGGTTGTGCATTTGCCAAATGCACCTAGTTGAAAGTTTTGTGTGTTTTTTTAAATTGGATGCTACTCCATTGTGACTTACCCGCTTGCCTTTCTTTGATGTTTTGAGTGTAAAAGTGATAATTTCATTTAACTTGTTTTCTAGACCAGTTTTTTAAGCATTTTTTTTTCATTTATATTAAAGTCAAAGCGTACATATTAACTATATCAGAATTTTGAGGATCTCTTTCTTAAACACATTGTTTTAAAGTTGAAAATCCTTGTTTGGTTGCTTGCTGCTCATGCAAGTTCAGGAATAGAACTTGTACCATCTTTGGTAGCTGTGTGTGCTAGTATTTTGATAATACTAAGTCCTTGAAATTTGACTGTTGATGAATATATGAAGATACATATATTTTATTTATTTATTTTTTTGTTAATCCTCACTAGAGGATATTTTTTCCATTCCTTTTCAGAGATAGTGGAAGGAGGAGAGAGAGAGAGAAACCTCAATGCTAGAGAGACACATCGACTGGTTGCCTACTGCACGGCCCCGACTCGGGCCTGGGAGCAAACCACAACCCAGGTACATACTCTTGACCGGGAATCAAAGCCGTGACCCTTCAGTGCACGGGTGACGCTCTAACCATTGAGCAACACCAGCCAGGGCTACATATATTTTAAAAGCCTGTATGATGATAACTTTTGCTACCCACTTAGAAAGGTAGGCATGTTGTGTTAATTAAATAATTTGCCATTTCTGTTTATTGATTTTGTGTGTTTTTGTCCAGGTTGCTTTCCTGTTGCATCTTTGACATAGTTTCCTAGACCCTGCTCCATGATTAACTCAGAAGTTTGAAATGAAGATGGAGGAGGCAGTGGGAAAAGTCGAAGAACTCATTGAGTCCAAAGTTCCACCGAAAACATCCAAACAAGAGACAACTAAGGAGGAAGATGGATCTGTAGAACTGGAATCTCACGTTCAGAAAGATGGTGTAGTGGATTCTACAGTTCTTTCTTCAATGCCCTGCTTGTTGATGGAACTGAGAAGGGACTCTTCTGAGTCTCAGTTAGCATCCACAGAGAGTGACAAGCCAACAGCTGGCAGAGTTTATGAGAGTGACTCTTCTAATCACTGCATGCTTTCCCCTTCCTCTAGTGGTCACCTGGCTGATTCAGATACGTTGTCTTCTGCAGAAGAGAATGAACCCTCCCAGGCAGAAACGGGTCTAGAAGGAGACCCTTCTGGAGTGTCTGGTGCCACTGTTGGGCGCAAATCTCGGCGGTCCCGATCTGAAAGTGAAACATCCACTATGGCTGCCAAGAAAAATCGGCAATCCAGTGATAAACAGAATGGCCGAGTTGCCAAGGTTAAAGGTCACCGGAGCCAAAAGCAAAAGGAGAGAATCAGGCTACTGAGGCAAAAACGGGAGGCTGCTGCGCGTAAGAAATATAACCTGTTGCAGGACAGTAGTACCAGTGATAGTGACCTGACTTGTGACTCAAGCACAAGCTCATCAGATGATGATGAAGAGGTTTCAGGGAGCAGCAAGACAATCACTGCAGAGATACCAGGTAGAGGATGTTTTTTAAACTGACTGTAGAGCATCTGATGGCATTTCTCAGCTGTCAGGCTCAGTTAAATGAGTGACACTTGAAAAAATCCAGGAGACCTGCAGCTCTGTGTAAATTTGAAGACTGCAGTGTATTAACGAGACATGGCCAATTTAAAAAACCTGCTCTGAGATTTCCAGTGCACTTTAGCACATAGCAAACAAATTTAAATGGTTAATGATAGGGACAAGATTATTTTTAAGTAATGGAATTTCTCACATCTCTTTCTCTGTAACACATTACCTGAACTTCCATCATTGCCTTTTTAGCACTGCTTAGATTTCATACTTACTGCTCAGTATTATTACTAAGTACATGATCCTCAGGAATAGGCACCTTGCTTTATTATATAGCCACTGCACTTGGGCTTTTGGTGTCTGAAATAACATGTTCTATCTTTTGTTAAAGTTTTCTAATAACTGTTCCTCCTAAAACAGTAGTTTTATGTGCTTTTCCTTATTCAGTGCATGATAAGCTAGTTATCCCTTCTTGCACATTTTTCTATTCTAAGTTGTCACTCTCATTGAAAAGAATGTTTTGTTTTGTTTTTGCAAAATTTTCCCCTTACTCCCTGAAGCTTTAAAAAGTTTGATATCTGCTCGTTCAGCTCTCACTGGTATAAGCGTCTAATTTATTACATACCTGCTTTCTCTGTATTATCACATCTGGTACTGTGCACTACAAAGACAGTCTTGAGATCTTATAGTGGGAGAAATATGAGGTCTGAATTGTTCTTAATTGGTGAATTCTCATTATTAAAGAGATTCTTATGATTAGGAACATTCTATAAACTACATAGCACTTAATAGATTATGACAGCATTGTTTATCACTACATTACATTAAAGGGGGAAGTTTTGGTTTTACGGGTGACTATGTTTTTCCCCCTTTTCTGAAAGGCATTTTGTTTCTATACATGAAGACACCATATTGCTGATATACAAAGAATATTTGAAGAAAAAATATTGGTTAATTAAACCTATAGCTAATCAAACTTATATAAACTCAGTAACAAGAATGATTGGTTTTAAAGAGCTTTATAGGTCTTCAATTTATAATAAAAATCTCATTTATATGGTATATTAAATAGAGTTTTACAGTCATTAGAAATGCTTACTATTTTAATATATGGTGAATTCCTATGGTAGTTCCTTGTGTTAAAATTAATGGGGAGGAGATTTAATTGAAGTTCATCAGTTGAATGCATGAGAGAAGCAGACTTTGAGGCTGTTCTAAGGCAGGTTCTAGGTATATTTCAGTTTTGCATTTTAATATTTTTAAGAAAGTTTTTAATACCTGTGTAATTGTTTGTTCATGCATTCTTATGTTCTGTACTAATCTGTTAATCAAGATGATGATGGATCTCTTGATCTAGTGCTTAATTTCACTCACTAAACAAATATTTATGTAACCATTCTAATACTTTGCCTTTTATGGGAAGGGAGAAGAAGATGGGTGAACAAAATTGTCTTTGAAGATAGACGTCTTGTAGAGGCAGCATGAGAAATGTCTTCATGGGCACTCTCCCTGTTTGGCTTACATAGGTTAGGTGTGCTTTGTTCATATTTTCTAGGACTCTTTGCTATATGACTGTCTTAACCAGTGTTGAAAACTAAAACATCATTGGTTTGTTTCTTGTCTATTCTGAATTGTATATTAACCAAAACCTCAAAGTAAATTATCTGGATCTATAATTTAGTTTCTGTTGTTCACTCCATTTAGTAAGTTTGTGGCTTTTGAAAATATGTAGAGTTTCTAAGGTAACCGTGGAGAATCAAATGATAGATGAGGTGCAGGATCGCTGGATATGACTGCCTAGGCTGTGCCCTGCACAGTTTCAGGAGGTGCTGTTCACATACGACATATGAATGGTCTTCATAGAATTATGCAAAGTAGCAAAGATAGAATAGCCTAAGTTTAAATGTTAGTGGAAATATCATTTTACTTCCCCATATTGTTACCCCAGAAAAATTGTGACATTGTGCATTTTTGATATAATAATTTGTACCTCAGTTTCCTGAGTCACATGACTGTGGAGAAGTGGGATACCCTCAGCCATATAGCAAGGGAAGTTGAAAAGTTGTATAAATTGTAAAGATGGGATAAATTATGAACTGATGTGAGTGCAACAGTGTGAACATTCAGGTGAACCTTAAACTGGATGTGCCTAACAGAATCTCTTGGATGTTGAAATTTGAATCCAGCTGTTTATACAGAATGGAAATCAAGAGGAAAAGTAAAAACAGTTTCTTGCTATAATCTTTCATCAAGGTAATCTAGTAATTCAGAAAATGCTTCATTTAGAAGATTTTGTTGTGCAGCAATTTAAATGTTGAAGGGGTTATGCTAAATGTTGTCTTATGCCAAATAATTCAACAATTAATGTGTTTTCTTTTAAGAGTGAAAATAAATAATGTGCAGGCTTATATAGTGCATGATAATGCTTAATAATTGAGTTTGGTATCTGGGCCACAGGTGTTTATGAAGACTTTTTTAAGTTCACAGTTAACTAGCAGGCAGTTTATTATGCACACTAGATCATTCCTTCTTGAAGTTTTTGACAGTATACTGCTGTTTTAAGGATCTGTTTGGGGGTATCATACCAAGATAATTTTGTCAGTTCTTTCACTTGGGGGACTTGGAGATAAGCAAAAATAGAGTATTTTGTAGTGCATATTAATATAAAAATACTATGTGATGGCCTTGAGTATTCAAGGCTGTTATCAAATGTCTCAGTTTTATAGATGATCTTTTTATACTATTAATCACTTGGCAGTTTTTCGAGTAGAACTTTTTTTCTTGGAGAGGGGGAGTTTCTCTGTAAAATCACTTTAAGTTGAGAGTGATCTATAAAGTATGCTCTTGCAGGAAATTTTGATTTTAGTGAATATGAATAATGGACATAAGACTTCATTCAGTTCAAGAAATTTTCTGAACAGACTATCTTTTGTGCATCATTGTTCATGACAGTGGGGAAAAGTTTTTTCAATAATTGTAGTTTTTCATAAATACTTACCCTAAAGTAAAACCATAGGGTCTTTTCACCTTGTCTTGGCTAAAGTGACCTGCTTTTGTGTAGTTTAATAGTCACCATATAAGTGCCTGCTCAGAGTGAGGTTCCAAAAATAGTATCCACCTTGGTAGGTAAGGGTCAGTTGTCTTGGTTGGTGTGCATTTTGAAAATCTAATTGGTCTATTTTGGAGCATGTCAGGGAGGCTGTTGAGGACAGCTGTCTGAGGTCACCTGAATTCTCAAACTGTGGCCAGGCCAGAACAGAGGATCCCCATTGAAGCCAGAATCTCACCACCCATTATTCACCATGCACGTTTGTGCACTGAAATGCATCATGATAAGCTATCATTTTATCTCCCAGTTTTTCTGAGGTAGAGACTTATGTTTGATCAATTAACTCTTGCTTGGAAATGTAAAAATAAAATTTTTGAAGTAGTAAATCCTTTATAGAAATTTTTGAAAATAGAAAACTGAAGTAGATTAAAATCACTTATAATCCTGCTTTTGTTAACATTGAGTATGTTGCCTTCCATAATATATAACAAAAATTATATTATGTATATGTACTTCTCTTTTCCTTTCCCTCTTAATTGCGTTTAACCAAAACACAACATTTTCTCTAAAACTTTTTTTTAAAAAACAATTTTGCTAACTAAGAGAACTTCCCTAATGATGATTCTTTGGGCTGCTTTTAGTTTTTGCTCTTATTAAAAAGGGTATGAATGCTTTAAGACTCCTGAGACATACTGCCAAACTGCTTTTTAAGAATATATTAAGTTTATTCCATCTAGGAGCTTGAATATTTGTTGCATTACATGCTTGCTATTGAGTGTTTTTTTTAAATTGCTGATTTGATGGAAGAATTGTATGTTAGTGTTAATTTGCATTTCTTTGATCACTAATGAAATTGAAAAATTATGTTTGGCCATTTGTATTCTTTTGGTAAACAGTCTATGTTCTTTGCATGTTTTCCTCCTGCCACATTTGTTTTTCTTATGATTTGTGAGGGTTCTTAATCTATTGGAGATTGTATTGCTTGGAAAAATTTTAGTGTTGATTTAAGCAGTGGGGACTCATGTTAGAAGATAAGACCACAAACCAACAATGGGAATACCACGACCTTTTTCCTAGATTGAATATGAAGTGGCTAAAATCCCCACATCCTCACTTTAAGTCTTTTATAATCTGGTTGTTATTTTAGTAGCTATTAAGGAGACTCACTAAATCCATTTGTAACAAAACACTGAGAGTAATCAGATGATAAATGCCTATTTTCAGCTTAGTGAATGCAAATAATGCAGGTAAAAATCCATGCAGTTTTCAATCTGGCTATATATTTTAGAATCACTTGGGGAGCACTTAAAACTGAGGCTACCCAGACCCCTCTCCAGACCAATTAAATAAGAACCTTTGGGTCTGACCCAGGTATCAGCATTTTTCTCCCAGCTTTTTGGCAATATAATTGACATATATAACATTGTATAAGTTTAAGGTATACAACATGGAATATTTGATAAATGTTTGTATTATGAAGTGATTACCATGACAACGTCATTTAACACATCTGTACTTCACATAATTATGATTTGTGTGTGTGTATTGAGAACTTTTAAGATCTGCTCTCAACAACTTTCAAATATACAATACAATAAGTATTGTTAACTATAGTCACCATGCTGTGCATTACATCCCTAGAATGTCTTCTAACTGGAAGTTCATACCCTTTGATCACCTTCATTCCCCCTCCTCCATCCACCAATCTGCTCTATTTCTATGAGTTCAGTTTTAAATTCCACATAAAAGTGAAATTAATACAGTATTTGTCTTTACTGTCTTATTTCTCTTAGCATAAAAGCATCAGCATTTTAAAATTTCCCCCAGTGATGACAGTCAGCAGCCAGGGCTGAGAACTCAATTGAGCCAGTGATATTTTAAGTCATAGCTGAACA